TTGCCTCTCGGTCACTGTTTGACTGATCACCACATGCAGGACATGGATTGTCTGTAGATTGAGCAGATGAACTAACAAGCAATCCGTCTAATATACAATTGGAAAGGAACTCAAAGTAGCCAATGGAGATCCCACATATGAATCACTTCAGGGTTTAAGAAAATCATGAGCAACTCCACTGGAAAGTCACCAGAGAAAAAGGGAACTCAAACTCTTCAGATCATAATCAAAGAAATTAGCATAAATTATAGCTAACACCGTCCCTATCCACCCCCATAGTTCAAGAAGGCCCCAATCTATTTCCGATAACTTCCAAACTACGCAAACGACAATGAAATGACAATTTCTAAAAAAAAATCAAAATAACCATGAAAGAAAAACAATATAGCAATCAGAAGGGAGAAGAAAAAGTAAAATCAGACACATCTGCCATATTTAAGTGTGATCATAGAATGCCGTTACGCAATTTAGGGCAAATCAGAGCATGATATACAAAATGAAAAAGAGGCGATCTCCCAAAATTAGAACAAAATCACAAAACAAGAAATCCAAAAGAAAGAGAAGAGAGAAAGAGAGGAAACCGTGATGAGCATAAATATAGGCCTGCCTCCAAGAATAGATATGATCCCCCGGTTTCAATTGCTCCCTCGAAATCTTATTCGACAGCACTCCCATCTTATGGACTACCAAAAACGATCTCAGTTTTCAGGATTCCATTACAAGGACAGAAGAGAGCTGGAAGCGAAATCGAAGGGGCTGTGGAGAAGATCTAGCGGAGAAATGAAGCAAACTGCATAGGAAAGGATAAACTTTATACGACTGAAATTTTTAATGTTGTTTACTTCCATTATAATCCAATTTAATTTGTCTTTAAAAGAAATTCAATATAATTGTTTTAAAACAAAATTCTAATGGGCTCGTGGGAGCCTGGTCGGAACATCGGGTTGTCTAAATTGTCACCCTTGGTCTACACAGATCAGGGACTCGACTAACGCAAGAAACACTAAGAGTTCAACACAAAATGTTCAAGAGCAGCCAAACTAGCATTCTTATTGAGACCTAAACTTATAGGAAGTAAATTGATGGACGAAAAGCTCGGGTAGGAGTAGGACATTCCATACAAATCTTTTTTCGCCGAGTTTTGGTCAGATTGAGACATTAGACCCGACCCAACTTTTTGTGTAGTAAAAATTTTCAACTCAAATAACTTTATAATCTAACCTAACCGTCATTTATTTATTTTAAAGTAAATGGTTAACTCTAAAATATATATTTATTTATTTTAAAACAATCTATTAAAATTTGTAACTTAATTTCATTTTATATTTTTAAAAAATTACGCGTGGATAAATAAAAAAAAAATTAATTATGAAATAAATATATATATATATTATTATATTTTAAGTAAAAATGTATATTTTAAAATTTAAATAAAGATTAAATTTATAATTTTAACCTTATTGATAGGTTTTTATTTAGAAGTTTTAATTTCAATTTCCAAAGTGTCTAGGAAAAATAATTTTGATTGTAATTAATTTAATTTAATTTTCTTGGTTAACGAACAGTTTGATTTTATAAATAATTAAATTATACTAATATTTGAATTTTGTATTTATCCAATCCCTAAATTAAACAAAAAAAAAAAAAGTCTATTAATTTTTTAAACCTTACAAAATAATATAAATTTACAAATTTTAGTAATCAAATTTAAACTAATTTCATACCTAATAATCAATTATTTTTTAAAATAAGATCTAAAATTATTTAAAAAAATTTGACGAGAGTCTTTATCGACTGAATTGATAGATTATGCTAATTTATATTTAATAAAAAAAAACAATTAATCCCACCAACACACTTGAACTATAAAATAATAATAGTAATGTTAAAATATTATTAAACTTTTTGTTTTTTTTTTTTTAAAATTTTTACAAGTCAAAATAAAATTAATATAATTTTAGTCATGATATTTAAAATAATAAATAATAAAATAAAACTAGACCCTTCTTTCATTTCGGGATTATTATGCAGACGTTTCCACACCTTTATAAGAAATGTTTTGTTCCCCTTTCCTACATCGGCTCTATTGTCATTTGTAACGGCCTCAAGCCCGCTAGCAAATATTACCGTCTTTCGACTTTTCCTTTCGAAATTCCCCAAATTTTAAAACTGGGAAACGGTTTCCAACCTAAATTAATCAATTTTATTTTATTTTTTATTATAAAACCCATTCATATTTTAGAAACTAAATAATGGGTTAAGAGTGTTTTTTTTTTATTTTATTTTAAAATTTGAGTAATAATTCAAGAAATATAAAACTCAAAAGAAATTGACATAAATAAATAAATAAAAAATTAAAAACTACAATATAAAAAAAAAAACAGAAAAAGAAAATCAAAATGAAATTATTTACCAACATGAATTTTTAAATAGAAAAAAGTCACCCATGTTAATATCTTCTCAAAGTAAGAATAAATTCTTTAACCAAATAAGATTGGTCCAAACTTAAGACAAAAGTTTCTTCGTCCAAAAAAATTGGACATGTTTGGTACAAAATGTTGGTTCTCGTGTTTGTTCGAGTTTCTGTTAAATGAACACGACTCTTCACAATGGTATGATATTGTCCACTTTGAGTGTATTCTTAGATTATAAACCCATGACCATTCCCTAAATTAACCGATGTGGGACTTTCATCATCCAACACCTCCACTCGAACAAAGCACGCCTCCCCTTAATGGGCATGGCTCTGATACCATGTTAGACGAACACGACTCTCCACAACGGTATGATATTGTCCACTTTGAGCACTCCTTTTTGGAGTCCTTTGTTCGACATTCGAGGATTTGCCAATCTATTAAAACGGCTAAGTTTAGGGCATGGCTCTGATACCATGTTAGACGAACACGACTCTCCACAACGGTATGATATTGTCCACTTTGAGCATAAGCTCTCATGGCTTTGCTTTGGGCTTCCCAAAAGGCCTCAGATCAATGAAGAGTGTATTCTTAAATTATAAACCCATGACCATTCCCTAAATTAACCGATGTGAGACTTTCATCATCCAACATATTCAACCTCTTATTTAATGGATTATTATATCGATTTATAAATTTATTATATTAGGTAAAATTGTAATGTGCTATCAGGCTCGCATCCAATCTGACCAGCGAACGGGACTATTTCCATTATCGCTAACAGGCTACCCGGGTCGTAAGCACAGTTGGAACGGGCTCCCTAAAAAAGTCGACTTGGGACCAGATTCAGCTTAAAATGAAGGGGACGACCCTGATGAAACCTAACACACTAGATAGTTGATATTCTTTTATGAATGTATTACTGCTATAGGTAATTGGTAATCCATTTAGAGTATCGTTGTAGTATCATTATAACATAAGGGAATGGGTCAATGTCGGTCAATTAAGATATATATGTGAGCTAGCCGCATATGCACTTTCATTTCCAGAGATAGTCAATCACTCTTTATAGTCCCTCAACATAGTACATCATAACGTGTTATGATACAATAACGAGTAGCACCGAGAATAAGTCAAAATCACGGACATGAATAGGTTACTCAACTACCACAATAGTGTAATCAAACGAAAATTCAACTGAAACACTATGAATCGATGAAAAAGTGAAGCAATTGGTGACAAGTTTTTAGGTTAAGTTTTCCAACGACTCAAACAAAAGAGGATAATTAATCCATGTATAAATTTCAAGGACCCGATCACCATTTGAAATTTTTTTAATATTACTATTTCTCCCTCTTAAAAACTCTTATCTCTGATCGGGACGACACTAGCTATGAATAACTAATTTTCACTTCATCTTTCTCATTTTCACGTAGCTTCTCCAGTTCGATGATTATACCGATAATCTTCTACCAACACTACTTATATGTTACGTAAAATCTCCACTACTCTCGTAAAAATTCATATAGGCCTTACATCGTCTCATAATTCAGATTCCCGTTCAAGTATAACGATTCATACCCTACAACACGTGAAGAACATACTTTATAAAATAATATTCATTTATTTATATTATGTTTTAATAATAAATTTTGATTTTTAGAAATTATATCGGAGATAATATTATATATATATATTTTTGTTAGGAATATTACTATATTTATTATAATGTCCTAGTTTTTAATAGAAATTCTCCATTAAAATTTTATTTAAAATTAATATATAAAATATAAAACATATGGGAAATGGAAAACATTGGTGTGGCTCTCCGTTCACTTCCATTGCCATATAAGGATGTCAGAGTCAACTCAATTGTACAGTTGAACTACTTCAGTAATTCGTGTGACGTGGAACGGTATGTGAATGACACTCCCAAGATCAGTGATGTACTTAGGAGCCGTTTCATGGAGGATTTCCAATTCAGGGAATGCTTTGAGAGCCGAAATTGAAAATACGTGGGACCTACATTGATCGCTGATCAATCAAATGATCGGCTAATGGGAAAGTTTTGCAACGCACAGTGAGTACTATATGGTATTACCAAGTAATTGATTGCAATCTCAGAACTATTGGAATTGATGTTTTCTGAGTTATTGGTGGTTCGATATTCACTATATCACCACAGACCAATCCCTAGGTGACTCCAAGCTTGACCGCTTTACCCGCCACGAACTTGTAATTTTTAAAATTTTTATAAACAATATTTTAAAAAGTTTGTATTAAAACTAAAACTAAGCCAAAGATATTTTTTTAAGCAAACAATATGAAAAAAAAAAAAAAAAGAGAAAAAGAAAATAAATAAATAAAAAAAAGGAAAAAATGTGATTATTTAACATAATCCGTACTTCTGACAAGGACCAGTGGAGGATGGTTGGCACATGCCTGCTGTCAAATCAAGGGGGAGAATAAACGGTCAGGATCAAAAGATATGGAGACAATAACGGCTGTGATTGCGTCGTCCTAAATTAGTATCTCCTGGACTCCATTTTCTTTTTTGGTTATAGATTTTCTCTTTTTCTCACTCTTAAAACATTTACAGAGACACCGCCTTGACCGTGCTTTCTCTCTCCTCTGTCTCTGTCGCTCTTTCTCTCTCATCTTTTGGGGGTTTTTGGAAGAAGTCACTTTGAACCACCACCTCTTCTCTTTTACGCTTTTATTTTTTGTTTCTCTCTCTCTCTCAGTGTATTTGTACTGACTGACATTCTCAGTCAGTCCGATTGTGGTACCGGCTTACTCTACAATTGTTTCAGTGAGAGGGGGCGTTCTTTTTGGGTTTAATTTTTCTCCTCGTTCTCCGTTTCCCCACTCGATTGTTGTAGCCTTTCGTTTTTTTTTTTTTGTTTCTCTCTAGACGATCTTGTACGGATTGGCTTTTGATTTGTGTGGATTGAGGTTTGAATTTGTTTGGATTGAGTGTTTGATTTTGGGGGATTTTGCGCTTAAACCCTAAAAAACATTATGGGTTTGCGAGGATGGATATTGGGTTGGGTTGATTTGGGGCGAGGGGAGATGGGAGAGCGCGGTTGGGTTGTGAGTGATTGCGTTGGGTTTAGGCAGCGGAGGAATCTTCTTGATGTTATCGATTGAGAGGTATGAGTTTCAGGCAGGGTTCTTGTCCTGTCGATTAGGGTTTTACTATTAGTTTTATTTTGAATTTTTCTGTGTGTGTGTGTGTGTGTGTGTGTGTGTGTGTGTGTGTGTTTTGAGCCTTTTTTAGTATTGGGGAAAGCTTGATATGAAGCTTTCAACATCAGGGTTTGGTCAGCAGGATCACGAAGGTATGATTTGTTTTCTTTCTTTTTTGATTTTGATTTACTGCTTCAATTTGGGAAGATCGAAATCCTGTTTTGAGCTGTTACTGTGATTATGATGTGCCCCCTTTTTTGTTTTGTTGTTCTTTTTCATCCTTTATTAAATGCTATGGTTCCCTCGTCACCCGCCATTAATTTTGATCTTCTGTGCTGAACTTTAATTATGGCGCTGTAATGATGATGATGATTATAGGAGGGGAAAAGAAATGCTTGAATTCAGAGCTATGGCATGCATGCGCGGGGCCCCTTGTGTCCCTCCCAACTGCTGGGACTCGGGTTGTTTACTTCCCTCAGGGTCACAGCGAACAGGTTCTATGGTTTTTTTTTTTGTTTCATTTTTTGTGGCTAGTTTTTCCTTTTAAGTTCTTATTTGCATGGAGAAAAGTTGAGAAGTTCTTTAATTAAATTAGTTGTCATTGCATAAACCTGTGAAATTGATAGGACTTTTCTGTCGTTTCGTTCGGTCTGTAGGTTGCTGCGACGACCAACAAAGAAGTTGATGGACACATACCCAATTACCCGAACCTACCTCCCCAGTTGATATGTCAACTTCACAATGTTACAATGCATGTGGGTTCTCTATGTTTCATGTAATTTGAGTGTGTTTAGCTTCGTTACATGATTAATGGCGTAAATCTTCCATTAATCTCCTGTTAACCATGAATGAGGAAATGAAATTGATATAGCTAGGAGGGCTTTTAAGCAGGATTTGTATGTGTGACATTTCAGGCAGATGTGGAAACGGATGAAGTGTATGCCCAGATGACATTACAGCCGCTGACTGCAGTAAAATATCTCTACGACTCTGTTTCTCGTGCAGTTATTCTTGCCACATTTATTAATATATATACCTTAGCTCAATTTATTTTATACGTACAGCAAGAACAAAAGGATACATTTCTACCCATGGAATTGGGGATTCCGAGTAGACAGCCAACAAATTACTTTTGCAAGACGTTGACAGCGAGTGATACAAGCACCCATGGAGGTTTCTCTGTACCTCGTCGTGCTGCCGAGAAAGTTTTTCCTCCACTGGTACATACATATATTCTGTTATATGATTCTGTTGGATCTGATGGATGACTTTTGACATCTTTCTTTGTTATGGTCCTGCAGGATTTTTCACAACAGCCACCAGCACAAGAGCTGATTGCAAGGGACCTTCATGATGTTGAATGGAAGTTTAGGCATATTTTTCGAGGTAAGTCCCGTGAAGTTCTGTCCATTAGCGGAAATAAGTGCGAAGGTTTTCTTTGTTAATGGTGAACGTCTCCTTTTCAGAAATAAGTGCGGAAGTTTTTTTTGTTAATGCTTTTCTAGTACTCTGATTTTGTTGGCATTTGGAATGAAGCTGTCATGGAAATTATTAATATGATAATTTTTTCTTTTGCTACGAAGTAATTGTGATATCATGTTCATTAAATAAACGACACTTCCGAGAGAGTTAGTTCTTACTAGAGTATGAACATTGAATTACATTCAGTGTAGGTTTTGATAAATTAAGGGAAAGCCCTAAACCAGCCAGAAATAAATTCAAGATGTCCCATCAATTTTGAAGAACAACTGTTTCATTAGGGCGAAAAATGATTGTATCATCAATGTATTGAAGAATGGAGACTTCGACCTGTTTCTACCGAACATAAAGCCCTTCAAAATTTTCTTAAGGCAATAATGAACGGAGCGACTAAGAGTATCTCCTATGATAGTAAAGAAGAAAAGAGAGAGGGATCTTCCTGTCTCAAGACTCTTGTAGTCGCAATCTTTCCTCTAAATTGAATTCTGATTGGGTTTTGAAGATGGTGAAGAACATTGACTAACTTCGTTATTGAAGGTTGATTGGGTTTGATTGATATTAAGTCCAAGAACAGGAGTCTTCTTGCAAAGTGGATTTGGATATTCTACAACGCAAGTATAGCCCTATGGAGACGTTTCATTGCAGCAATGTCTTGGTAATCTCCTAGGCAACTGTAAGCTTAAAGCATCTTGGAGCCTTGAAGATACATTATGGAGTAGAGAGATATGGTCTATGATAATACTGTGAGTTTAATTGGTAATGGGAAGTCCACATCCTTCTTGAATGACAGCTGGATTGGTTTAGTGCTAAAAAACATGTGCCAAGTCTCACGCTCTAGCCTTATGCAAAGACAACTCTATTGCAGATATATGGAAAGAGGAGGCAACCACTTGGGATTTGGGCCTTCGTCCAAGCCTTACCGAAGAAGAACTGAATGAGTGGGCCAATCTATCCCACATTTCTTCTCCCTCCCCAAAGGCCAAATTTCTGAGTCCATTGGAGATAGGCTCTTGATACCAAAAGCTCCCACACGGCCAAATCCCTCACACGACATCTTTCATCCAATGTCAACCATCTACATTATTTTTATTCACCACAATGGAAAGGACCCATTCCAAAGTTCAATTTTTTATGTGGGAGTTAGGTTATAAATGTATCTGTTAAATCAACACTAAACCCAAAACCTTAAACTAATGGGTTATAGTAATTTTAGTTATTTCAATAGTTCAACACTCTCCTTCACTTGTGGGCTTGAAAACTTGTAGAAGTCTTGACAAGTGGAAATCAATATTACTTGAGGAGAAAATGATATTTTAGAGGTTTGAATACATGATCACCACCTCTTTATGGGCAAAATTCTGGAAGGCTCTCAACCTGTATTACGCACTTGCATTTCCAAATGATCCAATCACTCTTTTAGAGATTCTCTTCATGGGTCATCCTTTAGCAAAGAAAACGAGGCCTTGTGGGGTTTTGTCAACAAAGCCTTCCTTTGGTTAACTTGGAGTGAGCAAAATCGTCGCATATTTGAGGACAGATACAAATTTCAAGTCCATTTTTTAATCTTACCTACATTCTCTCATTTGGTGTATATCTTACCCTATATTCAAGACTATAGCATTACTTCTCATACTACACACAATTCTTTTGCAAATCTTCTTAGTACCTTTGCCACTTTTGTAATTTCATCTCACCTATGGAATGAACGAAACTTTTTCCTCATAAAATGTTGCCAGCTGTTGGAATCAACAATAATTTTTCCTTTCCTTTCCTTTAATGCTAATCTCCATCAAATCCTTTCACTCGGTCTATTTTTGCAACTTCCTCTAAACCTCCATAGGCATTATTGATTTTCTTGAAAGTCTCTTTTATTCAAGGAAATGTCTCTTTCCTTCACCTAACCCTTGTACGATGTCACTTATTCACCAAAGAACTCTTGCTTCCAGGTTTCATTAAGGAAATGGAAAGTGCTCACTCTCTGGTAGAGGATATGTGCCTATTTTGTGTTTTCACTTATAAAGATGTCTTTGTTGGGTTGAAATGGGCTGAGTTAAAATAAGGTAATATGTGGGTTTGTGAAGCACTCAAAATACTATACCACCTGTTGTGAATGGTTTTGTTTTGAAGGACAATGATGTGCTTTGATTTGAAGGGAAGTAAGGTGCGGGTCTTTTAGTTTGTTCCTATGGAAGTACTGCTCGAGCTTGTGTTTGGGGGGTAGGGAGCAATGGATTAAATGAGATGGGTCTGATGGTTGGCCTTTTATATTTTCATTAATGATATTTGTACTAAGAAGAACATCTCTGTAAGTTCATCTTTTGTGATTAATAGCCCCTTTAATTTTTTGAGATGTCGATGGACATAAGGTCTTTAAAAATCTCCATCCTCTTTTTTGTTTCCCTACTCGGAGAAGCAGCCTTCTTTTTCCTCAATTGTAGTGTCCAACCTAACTAACATAGTTGAGTATTTGTTTGTGAGTTTCTCAATCTATAGGACTTGATAAAAAATTAAATCAAATTTGAGTATCCATTTGTTTGCGAGTTTCGCAATCTATAGGACCGAATAAAAAAATTAAACAAATTTATGTAGCATAATGTTATATTGTTCTTTTCATTTGAATTCAATTGTTTTAGTTGGTACTTATTTAGTTGTTTACCTAGTTGTAGGTGGTAGGTTAACAGTTCATTTAGTCTTGAGGGTTAAGCTCCATAATAAACATTACTGAGATTTTCTTCTTTGATGCTTGGTTTCATTGACGATTCACTTTTGTTTGAAAGATTTGTGGTTGGGGGGAAATTCCAATAGAAGCTTGAAATATCTCATAATCCATCAATAGTGCTTCAATGCGCACCAATGGAGAAAGGTTTGCCTTTTGAAGCTTTTGCTATAACTTCTTCTAGTATTTGAGGTCTACTACAAGGGAGAAGGATTTCAGTTTGATGGTGGCCAAGCGATGGTTTACAATTGTGGCTAAGCGATGGTTTACAATTGTGGCTAAGCGATGGTTTACGACTAAACCTTTGAACCAAACAACAAATTGGTTATTAACTGGTGGTGAGGATGTGGCTTTGTAGCTAGGGTTACTCAATGGTAGAGCAGGAACAAGGATGGGGATGGCTTCCCCGTCCCCAACTTTCCACCATTTAGTTCTCCATCTTGCAAATGAAAAGACAAAATAGTATTTCATTTTAGTCCAAATAAACTAAATATATATATGAACGTGGGCAACAAGGTAGGGATGGGAGGCAAGATCATATTCCTAATTTTCTTTTAGGTTAGGGGAATAATTCCCCGTCACGCCTCCATTCCTTCATTTCCTGCTTAATCGTGGATTTGGAGTGGGTTCTTGCTAGAAAAATGAACATCTCTATTTTCACGTAAGAGGTGGAGGGCGGATGGGTGAGAAGAGAGTGAAAGAGAGAGCGAGCCACTACTAGCAAGAGTTCTATTAATTATGCATAGTGAAATTAGAATTTTGAAATAATGTTTTGTTAAATAAGTTATTTTATATTAAATAAAAAATTAAATTAAATTTATTTTTCATTTTAAGAAGTTGGAGCCTTTATCCACTGATGTTCTTGCCTCTTGAGAAGGCTGGTTCTTTTTTTGGTATTGCCTGCTCGTATTCCTTTCATTTTCTCTCTAACAGCGTGGTTTTTTATTGAATCTAAATTAATTATTTGGTATTAATATTGTAAATTACTGATGCACCATGGAACCCCCTGCCTGCTTCCCCAACTCCATAGCAAATGCCTCCTAAAAGATAATTTCAAAGTTTAGGTTTTAGATGGATCAAATTATTAATATTAGTACTTTCTCTGGTGATGGAAGAACAACTCCTTTGTTCCCTAATGAAGGGGTAGAATCACAAGTGGGTGACTGACACGGAGCCTGCAAGTCATTGTTTCTCACCGCCGTCTTATACTAATATTTCCATTTTTAGATAATATAATATATATAACCTCGTTTGGTTTTTGTAGGTTGGGAGGATGTCTTATTTTCCCTCCTTGTACTCTTTCGTTAATGAAAAGTAAGTTATTTATTAATACATACACTCACAACTAATTATCAAATTATTAAATATACCTTCTACTATTTATTAGTCTGGTTCTAGGCTGCTAACTGCTATTGGCTAGAGGATTGGTACATTGACAAGAGTTGTTTATGGGAAGGGGTAGAAGAAAACAGAGAGGAGGTGTATCTCACTTGGTGAAGTGGGTTCTCTAAACCCACATCTACGGGGCCTTGAAGTTATAAAACCTTGATTTTAAGATCTGAGCGATCCTTGGGAGATGGCTCGTGGGATTAGTGGCCATGGGTCGGATTTTCTCTAATGGCATTCATAGGAGATATTCCATTGTTCATTCAACTCCAATTATCCATTCTTGCAGATAAGCTGTGGATTAGTGGATCTTCAATTAAATCATTGTCCATTTTCCTAAGGTGTCATGTGCTAGCTCCATCAGACTTTTGAGCTTTTGAACTTGAAAAGATCAAAAGGTTTTTTATTTAACAACATTGATGGGATAGAGATTAAGCGATTTCACTTTGTGTATCTACTGTTGCTGCATCTCAAAATTTTCTTATTTTTTTTCTTTCCTTTATTTTTCTCATTCCTCTCATTTTCTCCTTTACCTGTATAGGTTTTGTAAAGGTTGCTTGGGGGGTTCCTGTGTTCTGAATTTTTCTTTTCTGTATGATGTGGTGTATTCCTGTGCGTTTCCTTGCACCATCATCTCGCTTGTTGAAAGTCTGTTTCCCATATAAAAAACTATTTGGGAATCGTAAACTGCATCTGCAGCTAACATGGCTTGTTCTCTTTGTTTCCACAGGACAGCCAAAACGACATCTTCTTACAACTGGTTGGAGTGTGTTTGTTAGTGCCAAAAGATTGGTTGCTGGGGATTCTGTACTTTTTATATGGTAACTATTCCAATTTGTTTATAAGTGTTTTTACACTAGGGCTTCCGTTTCGGAGTTTTATTATTGAGCTCCCTGAATCACTTATCTAGGAATGAAAAAAATCAGCTTCTTTTGGGTATACGTCGTGCCACAAGACCACAAACTGTGATGCCTTCTTCTGTTTTATCAAGTGATAGCATGCACATTGGACTCCTTGCTGCTGCAGCTCATGCTGCTGCAACTAATAGCTGTTTCACAGTGTTCTACAACCCCAGGTTCGAAAATATTCTTTCCTTTTGCTACTGTTATAGCTGGTTTTATAGTCTACTTCGGCTCATTTTGAAACAATTTCTTTTGCAAAAATTAATTCCAGGGCTAGCCCATCAGAGTTTGTCATCCCTCTGACAAAGTATGTTAAAGCTGTATTTCATACCCGTGTTTCAGTAGGAATGCGTTTTCGGATGCTTTTTGAAACTGAAGAGTCAAGCGTTCGAAGGTATGATATGATAACTCTAAATAATTCATTATCATCTGTTTGTTGTAGAAAATTCTTGCATATCTCCCTCATCTGCACTTTTGATTGGCATGTTCTTCCTACCTATATCACTAGTCTTCTCAACATTTGCATTGGCAGTCAGTCCTTGAATGTTGAAGCTGTATGCAAATTCTTTGAATTTTATTTGAGATTTTCATTTCTTTGGACCTTTTAGTTGATGAGAAACAAAGGGATAGAGTGAGTTTTTTTTTTTTTTTTTTTTTTTTT